AATTTATATTTGCTCATTATATAAAAATATATTCTAGTATTATTCATCCACAGTTATATAGAACAAGCTTGTAAAACCATTAACTTATACACTTTAGAAAGTAAATTAGTTAACAAATTTCTTTATTATCACAAATTCGTCAAATGAGACACCGCATATTATTACTTAGGATGTATCTTAACACTAATAGAATTTTTTATTTTAATACAAATCTGGAGCAATTTACAAAACTTTCATCTAAGAATTAAGTAGTTGAAAACTGCTACCATAGATATAAAAGTTATTTGAAGAAGAGTCAAATATCCATCCATTTATAATATTCATTCCTTTATAGTAATATTTTTAGGAAGTCTTACCATATAAAGCATAAAGTAGTTAATTTTAATTCCAACAAATAATGCTCTTATTATTTTAAAATAAACTAAATGAAGTAAATGGAGGATCGTTAGATGATTAAGGGGTTAAATATTCTATAAACTTATTAGTAAAAATACTAAAAGATGATATTTAGTATTTTGTTCTGATAAAATACATTCCTAGATGTGCACTTTAAATAATTTCAAGTATTTAATCATTCACTTAGCTGATTGATAGTACTTAAAATGTTGGGATCTCAATATATCTGTCTTTTTATATTTTAGCAGTATAAATCAAACCTGAATTAGTACCAATGTAGCTCATGAAATTTAAAGGAGGTCCAATCATATTATTTTAAGATGCTGATTATTTATCATTATTAAGATATTCATGACCAGTAATATATGTAATATTTTTGTTTATATCAATTTAATAATCTTTAAATAGAGTAAAAAAGCTTAATATAATTGATCTATTAATAGTGTAGAGTACAGTTCCATATCCATTCACAATTTTCTTAGGATAGTCTATAACAGGTAGATAAGGGATAGTAGAAAATTAAATATAACTTGCTAAACTTTTTGAAACCAAGAAAATTCTATACATTCCTTAACTTGGTTAATATCCTGCTAAAAAGTATACAGAAGCATCATTAATTACTCTTTTCACAGAAATAAGTTCATTTATTAAGCTTACTTATATAGTGTAAGTAATTTATAGAGTTGTCGTGCAAGTATTAAAGTTACTTTAAGTATCAAAATATATAATCTCGTCAATAAAATAACTATTTAATATTGTATCTTAATCTGTTTCAAATATTGAAACTGTGCTAAAATGCTGAATAGGATATGTTGTAGATATTGAATATAGTAATTAAGTGTTGTTTTTTTGTAGATCAATTTAGTAAACTGATATTTAATTTTGTTTTTGTAAGTAGATTTTCAAATCATAATTGAGAGCTATATTTAAATTATTACTTGAAAAATCAGTTTAACATTCAAAAAAAAGACTAACAAATTCTGAAGAAATTATTTAAACGCAGTTATTATAGTTTATTGCTAATTTATCTTAATTTGAAGTTATTTGGACAATGCTTACTAAATTAACTAATTAATTTATAATTATTTATTAAGATGGATCAATTAGTAATAAGTTTTAACCAACTAATGCTGCTATTTTGTTATCAGAGAATCTTTATAACTAAGTACATTCTTAGTTATCAAAACTCAATTTTTAAATAAGATTAATATTGCTTTACCTTGATGCATCATAGAAGATTATATCTCCGTTTTGGTGGCAAGAGATTAAAATCTATGGAGAGTAAACATATGTAAGGGAATTTACTTGCGAAGTAGGAGTGGGAAAAGGAAGATTATAGTTTTCAATAATTGTTGTTTCTAAAAACTACTTTTAGATACTACTCTCTCTAATAATTTAAATTGAAGTAGAAGAAAAGAATGCGATTTCGAAATTTGCTATATACTCCTATTACTATGTATTATAAGAAATAGGTATTTTTTTCAGTGATTTGCTTTAAAATTTCAAAGTAATTATTTAAATTTATTCATAAATATTGTCATCAATATTGTATAGTTCTAGTGTTGATTAGTTAGAAAGAATAAGAAGCTAATTATTATTTCCTGAAAAGTTACCAATATCAAAATCTGTGATAACTTACACTTCGCTTAAAATAATATTTTATTCTTTAGAGATAATATTGTAATCAATTAGATTTTGTTAATTTAGAATGATTAAATGTTGACTGTTAGATGTATTATCAAGCTGAATGAATTTTACTTTTTTAATTGAGGTTAATGAAATTAAAGAAGATTAGGTTTATTCGTTAATATCAATTATTGATATTGAGTTCGTAAAAATTAGAAAATATATACTTGAATTCGTTGACGGAATTATTGAAAGCATATTTGTTTGATTTAAAATAGAAAAGGTCATCAGCTGGGTAAAATTTAAATTAACTTTTTCCACTTAAAAATTTATTTGATAAACAATTAAACTCGTTTAGTCACCCAAGAATAAATAGTTATTTATAAATTGATTGAATTAAAATGATTGATTGATTTGAATAATATTAGAAATAATTTGATTTGATGAAACAAAATCATAAATTATTTAAATTAAAGTTGATTATTATTGAATCTAATATACCATTAAGTAGCTGTCTAAAAAAGAAATAAATTTTGTTTGTAAGCTAATTAAGATAATATTACGTTAATCAACAATATATCTACGCTCATTTGTTATATCCCAAACATTGATTGAAAAGTCTTTTTTAATAACAACTATTTAACATTTTATGCTTAAAATAGTTAAGTCATCTTAATCATAGCTAAGATTTTTTATCAAACCTAATGATTATCTGTCATATATTGAGAGATATCCTTATTACAAAGTCACATAATAAGATTATTGGTATATAAAAAAATCTGTTGGAATACCAGGATTCAAGAAGTTAGGTTAAGTTGAGTGAATTGAAGAACACTAAACTAATTTTTTACAAGTATTTGTTTATTCATCAGCATTAAATAGTGGATTGCAAATAGATGAGCAACCTCCAACAGAATTATCTTCTTCATTTTCACTTATTTAAAAGTATTAACTAGGCGAGCAACCTTAGTAAATACAAATACCACTGCTAAGTTCATAACCAGGTTCACAATAAATGCAAATAGGTTTTTAACCAGAACTACAAGTTTAGCACTCTTACCCACATTGTTATATGGTTATTTATACAATTAAAACTGAATAAATTATAATTTTAAATTTTGACATTTTCTAATTTCCTTTTGAAACTAAATATGTTTAGAATTTATTTTTTGTAAAAGAAGTAATATTAACTTTAATTTCTAAAAGTAATTGAATTATAAAAAAAATGTAATTTAAACACAAATTTAATAATAATTTTTCTTATTATATTTCTTCTGTATATATTAAAATATTATTAGTTGGGAATAGATTTCATCAATAATTTTCTAACTAATGTGTTTTTTTCAATTTTTTTTTATTATAATACATTTTAAAAGATAACTAGCTTTTTGAAAGAAAAAGAAGTAAGTTAAAAAAATTTAATTCATTGACAAATAAAATGAAAGAAAAAGCAACTATATTTTTTTATTTTTTGAGTATTTTTAAATAATTCTTTTAAGATTTTATTGCGTTAATGAAAAATTGAATGATTAATCCTAGTAACATAATTTATAATATCAAGCTGAATTAGATAGTTGACTATATGTGCAATAAATATGGTCGGTGAGGGAATTAACTAAATTCAAATTATTTTTTATAAAAACAATTTTTTTATTAATTTTTTGAGAGATTCTTATAGAACTAAAGATTCTCTACAATCTCCTTTTTAAATTATAGTTTTTTGAAAAAGTTAAAGGGTACATGTTACAGAAGTAAAAGTTAAAAAATAACATTTTTTAAAAAAAATTAAAAAAAATTTTTTAATTTCAATTTTTAAAACTGGTTATGTAAATTAAAATTGGTGTTAATTAAAGAGGATTTACAGTATATAAAAAAATATAAAGATGTAAAAAAAAAACAGCTTTAAATTTTACATAAATAATAAAAAAAATTTCAAATATTTAATCATTTAGAATTTATTTCTGATGATTTTGCATAGAAATTATAATTTTTCAAATTTTTTATTTATAATTCTTCATCTGTTTTATTTTTATTTTCCTCAACTATAAAGTCAGTCTTTATATTAATATTGCTTTCATCTGTATTATAACTATAGCTTAGCTACTTGAAATTGCTATGATAATGCTTTTGAAAGGAGAATTAGTTATCAGGATTACGGAAAAATGGATGTACTTTTTTATTTGTGAGTTTTAAAATTTCTGAATATCCTAGATTTTAAATGAAATTTGCATAAAAATACTTATATTAGAAATAAAAATTACCATTTTCATTCATATCAGTTTATAGAGTACCTTAAAGTGAATTTAACTTTGATGCAGTTATGTTTATGTTATGTGTTGCTTTAAATTAAATAATTTTTGCTATATTGTATTTAATAAATTTCCAATTGAGGTATGTTTTGAAGGAAGTTTTTTGATTAATCATTTTCTCATAGAACTTTTTTGTCACGCATTTCTTTAGTAAGCTTCTAAATAATTTACTACAAAAGCTAAAACCTTACCTTAATTTGTAAGCTAATATTGTAAATCCACAAATTAAGAAAAATATATAATCAATCAAAATAATTACTGCTTCAATAAACATTTATAAGTTTTAAGAATCACTTTATAATTAGCTTAAATGTATTTTTATTATCAAAAGTGAATAAGCTTAAATTTCACAAGATTGAATATTTTATGAAATGAAAGGATTTCTCTTTCTTATAGCTATTATATAAATTCCCATAATAATCAAGCTTGAGATAATGGAAAATGTACTTGTTTAATAATCCAAAGTATAAATATAAATTAAAATTATTTTAAGGTAAATCCTTATAAATTCCCAGTAAAAGTACTCTGTCTTTAGCTCTCCATAATAATAACCATAAGAGTACTTTATTTAACATTCATTTAATCGTTGCTTCTTTTTGATTAACTTTATAAGTATAAATATTGGTGTAAGTGTCCAAAATAAAAGTACAATTATCGAGTATGGGTATAAAAATTTAACAATACTTTTATCATCACACTATATTCTTAAATCATAAGGATTTAATGATTAACTACCTACTTATTAACAAGTTAAGCCTTTAGAAAAATAAGATATTTAGCTTATCTAATAAAAAATTATATATATATGGAAAAAGGTTAAGTAGTGATATTTTTTTATTAAATTTTTGTGCGCTAATATAGCTATAGTTTTTAGGATAATCATTGTGAAAATAAAAAGAAAGAATGGTAATAAAAATTAAGTTAATGAAAAGAAAACTATTTATCCATACTTTTTTATTTTATCTACACTTACCATGCATTCTATACCTAAACTTAGTTATCTACTTGTTTATCCTAAAACCTCATTTAAAATGTTAAAATTTACAGGTAAAATTTAAGGCTATGGAATCAATAGAGAAGAAAGTTGGTAATAATTTATTATTATTTTTATATAAAAACCAGAATAGTCATTTATGGAACTTTTAGAAATAGGTAAAAGCTTCATTTTTCTCAAATAGTAGCAGGTTTATGTATATTTAAATTGAGAAATAAATACAAAAGTAGTGAATAAAAAATAAGTGACTATACCTATAATTTTGAGTATAAATTATATCCACTATATACTTTCCTGATAGCATTTTTAGCAATATCCTCTTTTAGTAGATTGCTAATACCTTATTCCGTTCCAAATTTCCCCTATATTATCACATTATTAGCATATTGGTCCTATATAACCTTCTGTGCAATAATTAATAGATGAAGGATTTTCTGCCTGGCAAGATCCTATTTAAGGATCACAATCAACTATCTCATCAGTTTAGTTGTTTTACCTCCAATAACCATTTTTCAGTGAAATAAAAGAGCCTTAACATTCTATAGCCGAATTTGGACAGTTATTGCATTAGTTTTATATTTTAGATTAGGCAATTTGTGATTATTTAAATAAAAAATTTGGATCAACAAGTGAATATTTACCTTCTTGACAAATTCTACAACTCATAATTTAATTATTTTACTCTTCAATAATTTCGCATAATTCGCACTCTCTAAAAGAAATTGATAAAAGTATAGGCTATTAAATCTAAGAGTTTGCTTATATACTAGACTCTATTGAGAAATATTCTAGAGATGATAAAACTCCTTAAATTTCTAATCCAGTAAGCGTAAATGATTAAGAATCACTATCATATTGATTATAATTCAAAATTCTCTCTCCAATAAGTTATGTTTATTTTGTATTTAAGTTATTTATTGTTATTTAAATACTTTTTAATTCATTTGAAATATCTTCTGGATATTAATCGCTTAATAGCTTTTGTAATGAAAAAGATAAGTAACGGTTAAAACTATCAACCAAAAATATTTTTAATGAAAGTTAACCACCACTTTGGAACTAGTCTATATCAATTTGAGAAATATAATTTTTTTTATAATTTGAAGTCACGTTGCTATCATCTAGATGAAATGTAAATAAGTAATTATTCTTAGAGTCTTAAGGGTTAAAATTTTATATTATTGCTTTTTGAAGATAAGTAGCACAATTATCTCCAAATATATCCGCATAATTTTACTTAATATTGTTTTCAAAAGGAAATCCTGAAGGTAGTATACTTTTGCCAGGTTTAGTCTAAAATATTCGCAATCCACCTCCAATTAAAGCTTAATTTTATATTACTTTTGTTTATCCATCAAAATATAGCTAAGTAGAACCTATATTTTCAAAATATAAAGCTCCTCCACTACTCTAAGCTGTATTATTTTAAAATAAACAATCTGTAAAATTGATATATTTTTGTGTATTAATAAAAGAAATAGCTCCTCCATTTTAAGCAATATTATTTGAAAAAACACTTTTGCTAATTTATACCAAAAAAGATTAGCTTACTTGAAGAATACCTTTGTTTAATTCGTAAGTAAATTTCTCCAAATTAATATTTGAGTTGAAAATTTTTAGTAGATACTGGCTAGGATTTTAATTTGTGCTAACA